TAGAAGTGGAGGAGCCAGGACTCAAAGCAGGCACTCTGACAGGGGATGCAGGTGTCCCAAGCAGTGATTTGGCCTCTGAGCCACACATGCTCACCCCCAGCCCTATCCTCTATTCCAGTACTCAATTCAGCCAGGAAAAAAGTAGAGAAGGGGAGAGATGAGGTAGAAACCAAAATTTTCCAGTGTAGTTCCAGATACCTCACATAATTATTTTTAATCATATGCCTATATTTATGGAGGATATTGTAAGGGAACAGTTATAGTTCCTGAAAAAATATCAGATCTGAGAGTTTATCACAGACCGCTGGCCTAGCCATGACACTTAGAGCCATATATACCCTTGTGAGTGGTTTGAAAACAGAAAAAACTGTGAAGAAAGTCCTCCCAGTGTGTACTCACTGCCCACCCAATCTTACCTTCCTCTGTATGTGAGATACTGGCAGCACTCTCCTGGGACAATTTCAATTTTTAAAAAATATTCATTTTATTTCTTTGAAAGGCAGAGTGACTGCAGTGGGGGTGGAGAGACAGAAAGAGATCTTCTATCCACTGGTTCACTCCCCAAGGCTGGAATGGTCAGGGCTGGGTCAGGTTGAAGCCAGGAATCAGGAACTCCATCTGGTCCCCTATGTGGGTGGCAGGGGCCCAAGTAATTGGGTCATCCTCCACTCCCTTCCCATTATCAGGAAGCTGGTGGAAGCAGAGCAGCCAGGATTTAAACAGGCACTCCCACAGGGATGCTGGTGTCACAGGCTGCCACTTAACCCACTGTGCTATAATGTTGGCCCAGACCATTTTAATCCTAATTGAGTCAGTTTTGAGGTTCCTATATCTCTGACTTAAGATCAAAGAATGTTAGCATTCTTTGAAACCTTCTGGCCCAATTGTCTCAATTTATAGATTAAAAACACTGATAATGTAGTGTACTTGTTCAAAGCCATTGAACCAGTTAAGTGCTGGGCCTGAAAGAGAACCTTACTCATATCCTAGGTGCTAGTCCATGCTTTGCATTTGCAAAGATCAGATATACAAGACTATATAAGAATTTAAAAGTCATACTGGAAAAACACACATAAATCTTTAGGGAAATGTGGTCCAAAATGACTGTTTTCCATCAACTCAGCAGCAGGTTAGCGAGCTGCCTGGAAACCAGAGTCAGAAGGAGGATTACCAAGATATGGCCAAGACATCAGTCTGTAAGAGCTGCTAACAGGAAGGCACCCTTGGGGCAGGCGCTGTATTTTAGCAGGTAAAGCCACCACCTGCAGTGTTGGCATCCCATATGGATGCCAGTTTGAGTCCCGGCTGCTCTACTTCTGATCCAGCTGTTATGGCCTGGGAAAGCAGTAGAAGATGGCCCAAGTCCTTGGGCCCCTGTACCCACAAGGGAGACCCAGAAGAAGCTCCTGGTTCCTGTCTTTGGATCAGCACAGTTCTATCCATTGCAGCCATTTGGGGAGTGAACCAGTAGACAGAAGACCTTTCTTTTTCTCTCTCTGCCTCTCTGTAACTCTGCCTTTCAAATAAATAAATAAATCTTAAAAAAAGAAAGAAAAGGCAGCACCTCATGAATTAGAGAAATACGCGTTCCCTGACAGATGCAGCCCTTGAAAAGAAGAAGACACCTCTTGGTCCAGGTGAATTCAGCCAGAGCCTGTCTGCAGTGTGACAAGTGCGGAGTGAGATGAATCGCAACCCCTGCTGAAGCCCTTGGCTGAGCCTCCTGTGCATTTACCAGAAATCCCATCTGAAGACTATGTGGGTGGGGTTGAGGCAGCCACGAAGCGTGAATGATCACCACCAGCCTCCTTCGGGGGGTGGCTCTGCTGCATGGAGTGGGGTACGAGGGGTGTGGTACCGCAATGGAGAGGCTGAAGGCTGCTCTGGAGGACCTCATTCTACGCCTCTGTTTGCCCCCACACCCCCAAGGACCCAGGCTCTGAGAATGGTTTGTTCTAGGTTACAGCACAGGTTCCCAGTGTCCATGCTATTCCCCTGTCTGTAGTGACGCTGGTTAAAGAGTGCTCCACTATTTACTCTGGAGGTAGCATTTCCACTTCTGTGATGGTTTGATCACACACTTCCTCTTCGTTTTCTATGACAAAGGTGACTTTGCAGTCAACAGGTGAATCTGAATCTTGACTGTGTGATGACTTTGGGCAAACTCCTTTAAAGATGCTGAAATTCCTTTCCTGCATCTGAAAAATGGTCTCTGTGAGAAGGCTTAAGGAAGACAGCACACACCAAGTACCAGACAAACATGAAACATGGACAGAGTGGCCAACAGGAGGGGAATGGGTGCTCACCTGTTTTGCTTTCCACGCCATCTCCCCCGAGTTGCAGACTGTCTATTGCTGGTGGCCTGTTACATTCTGTGGGGCAGGTCCAAACCTGCAGTTTTCAGGGCCTAGGGAAGCTCGGTACAGAGACTGTGTGGAAGGGAAGAGACGATGATGCCTGAGGTTTGAGTTGTCCCAGGAGTACCCCAATTCCTGCTTCGTGGACATTCAAAGGAAGTTCCTTCTTTTTTTTTTTTTTTGGACAGGCAGAGTTAGACAGTGAGAGAGAGAGAGAAAGGTCTTCCTTCTGTTGGTTCACCCTCCAAAAGGCTACTACAGCCAGCGCGTTGTGCCGATGCGAAGCCAAGAGCCAGGTGCTTCCTCCTGGTCTCCCATGCAGGTGCAGGGCCCAAGGATCTGGGCCATCCTCCACTGCCCTCCCAGGCCACAGCAGAGAGCTGGCCTGGAAGGAGAGAAACTGGGACAGAATCCGGCGCCCCGACCAGGACTAGAACCAGGGGTGCCAGTGCCACAGGTGGAGGATTAGCCTAGTGAGCCGTGGCGCCGGCTGGAAGTTCCCTCTATTAATGGGTACCCTTGCAGTCTATCAGGTAACCCTACTTATCTATGAGAAAGATGACCATCAGGGGATTAAGAATGAATCTTAGCACCACAGGACCTCACTTTGAATACTGGCACCTTTTTGCACTCTATTGTTATTAATATATTATTATTTGTCAAGCTCTGGACATAAGCCAGTCCTAGTTTACCAAAATTATAAAAGTGGGATAATATTAGGGTTTTTTTTGTATTTATTTTTATTTATTTGAAAGGCAGAGAGAGATCTTCGATCTGCTGGTTCACTCCCCAAACAGTTGCAACAGCTGGGGCTGGGCCAGGCTGAAGCTAGGAGCCAGGAACTCTATGTTGGTCTCCCACACCGGAGTCAGAGGCCTACATACGTGGGCCATCCTCTGCCACTCTCCCAGGTGCATTAGCAGGGGGCTGAATTGGAAAAGCAGAGCACCTGGGGCTGGAACCTACACTCCAAATGCATTACACGTGGGTGGCTAAACGCACTGTGCCACAATGTCAGTCCAATAATACTCGTTCTTATCCAAGGAAGTTTAAAACATATAATTTCCTCGTGCCTAAAAGGCTCTCAATAAGTACTTACTACTATTGTTATTGTTATTATTATTGACCTGCTGAGTCAAGTGTCCCTAAGTTGCTATTAAAGAACTGCCCACAAAGAGCAGAGGAGGCGGCTACGCTTGGTGGCCTGCTGGGTCAGGGGACGGCCAGGAAGGCAGAAGATGGTGAGTGGGATGAGGAGTGCTCCCAGGCTGCAGAATAGGGTGCTAAAACTCCCGTGCATGTCTGCACCACGTTCCACATCAATAGCGTGAGTTTTCCCAGATCTGAGGGTTTCCAGATGGCCCAAATTGGGAAGCATGGGAACAGATGCAGAAGTTCCTATTAGACATCCCACCTAAAACAAAAACCGCTAGGCTCCCGGAGAGGCGTGGAAGTGGGGCAACGCCAGAAAATAAACAGAAGAGCCAAGTGCACAGTATTTACCACGAGGTGAAGGACTTTGTGGTCATGCCCACGCCCTCTGCCAGGACACTGAGGAAGCCAGGGATAAGAAACACACCCGGGAGTAATGCTGACTGGGACCAAAAAGCCTTTTGCAGATGACCCAGAAAGCAAGACCAGGACTTGGATCGCCGCTCAAGAGTGGAGGCAGGTAGCTGCTGCATTTTTATGGGGTTGAGGTCAAGCATCTTGTTACCTTTTTTTTCTGCACAGGACCAACAGTAGGTGTTCAGTAAACACCCAGGTACACAAGAGGTGAAAACAAGAACCAGCAGGAGGAATCCAAGATTCTAGACGATTACCAGTCCTCCCACCCTAGTCCCCTCTCTAACAGCAAATTTCAAATAAGGGCTCCGGTATTGTCCTTCGAATTCCTCAAGTGTCCTCCCCAACCACGACGCCGAACCACTCAGTGTCCACTAGGGGTGCTGCGGTGAAGGGAGACGTGTTTCCTTTTCGGTCATGGTGACCCCTATTACTTCTTCCCTCTTAAGTCTTCCCTCTTAAGAGTCCCAGGCAGTGCAAATTAAGCTACCCCAAGCCCTCCGCCCCCACGGCTGGGGAGCGGCAAGGTCTCCCCTGGCCGCCCCTGCACATCCCGGGAACCTGCAGGTTGTGGAACGCAGGGGAATCGTTTCATTAATCACCGCCGCCCGCGGTTCATTCGCCGGGCCCCGACACGGTGGCCAAGAGGGTCCTCGGCGACCGGCGTGGGGAGGCGCGGCTGGCGCGGTCGGCCGTGTGCGGGCGCCGCGCGCCGCCGGCGTGCTCCTCCGTGCGCCCGGTTGGCGTGGGCGCGGCCGGCGCTCCTGCAGAGGGAGCTGTGCGCCCAGCCTGGCGCACGCACAGCGCCGCCCGCTCCCTCTTGCCGCCGCTGGGCCCGCCCGCCGGGGAGGGGCTCCGGGCCTCGCCGACAGCTGCTTCCTGCTTTCTCGCACATCCTCGCTGCCGTGCCGCCTGTCGGGTCGTGCGAGCCCTGCCCGAGAGCCGCCTGCCGCCGCCGCCGCCGCCACCACCACCCCCAGCTCGGCCGCTCGCCCGCCGCCCGCGCCTCTGCTTCGGCCCGTTCGCGTCCACTCCCAGAGCCCGCGCGCCCCACGCTGCCCCCGGCCCGCCCGAGCCATGCTGTCCTTCCAGTACCCCGACGTGTACCGCGATGAGACGGCGGTGAGTACCCAGCCCGCGCCCGCGCGTGCCGCGCCTGCCGGTCAGCCCCGCCCGGGGCTCGCAGCCCCGCGCCCCTCCCGTCCCCTCCCCCTCGGCCTTTGTTTGCGAGAAGCGGGCCGGGGGCGCGCGGCTCCTCCCCTGCACTGGGACCCGGGCTGGTCGGCCCTGGCCCGTCTGCAGGCGAAGGAGCCTTGTGGGTATGCGGCTCTCGGCCGCTTCCTAAAATCATTGGGGTCAAGGGCAGACGCCGGCTAGGCACGGGTGTCTTCGGAGAGGGGGAGCACCGGAGGTGTCCCTGCGTCTTGGCGGTAGGAGAAAGTGTCCACGCCGGGCGTTGTGTGATGTAAAAATGGAACGCCAAAAGCAAACTTTTCAAACTCGACCATGTTGAAGTCCTTAGAGTGGCAGCTCATTCATTCTGGCTTAAAACGCGTGTGGAACGCCTCCTCGGCCCCAGGCCAGCGGCTGGGCGTTGGTTGCTGGGGTGCGGAGGAGGAGGGCAGAGGCCTGGGGGGAGGCGCAGCCGTGACCCTGCGGGGTTGACCCCGCGGGGTTGACCGCGCGGGTCCAAGTTTTCTCGCACGAGAGAAGGAGTTGGTAGAGGCTAAGAGGAAGGAAGAAGGCATGGCCTTTTCAGAATGAGCACGTTTTGCCCAGCGGCGGAGTTAACCATTAGCCTCAGCTGGGGCTGAACTCCAGCTAAGTGTTGAGGTCCAGTGGGTGGAATTCTGGGCAGAAATTAGATTGGCATTTGGAGACCTGGGCAGAATCCAAGTGTGTGGCCATGATCCTCTCTTCCTGATAGCCAGATTTCTCCGATGGCTTAAAATAGACTCGGAATAAAAATACTCTCTCCTGATACACTCCTGATGGCCCCTGTTTTCGTTGACTCGGTTTATGCCAGAAAGCCTGTACTTTAAGAAACATCTCACGCTGGAGTAGACAGTGCTCCCTGAGGATTGTGGGTAAAGGACTGTTGCAAGTGAGAACTTGCAGGTGGCACTGATGCATGCCTGGGCCTCCTTGGACAGTGGCCATTTGGTGACCATGTTGTCACCCTCTGTTCAGCTGCTTGCTTGTTAGATGTATCCTGCAAACCCAAGACCTTGCATTTCCGTGTTGCAAAGGGTTGTTTGCTTTGTGTGAGGATAAACCAAGGCTGCCAGGGTGGAAAGGACAGAGCTAAGAAAGGCCTGAGTGCTGGTTCTGGTGTGTCCCTCGCTGGGTGACTTTCGTCAGACCCCTGACCTTTGCTGGTGTGTGTGGACTATTGCCGGTGTACTGGCTTCTGCAGTGAGAGTTTGTCACCCATGCACTGATCCACCTGGTAGACTAGCTCAAAGTGTGCCATGCCAGGCGCCTGGCATTCTTGGTTCTGGTTCTTAAGGTCCTTAGTTTTCAGGATGGGATAAAACATGAAGAGCTACCTATCCGTGGCTTGGTGCATGCAAGTTTAGGTTTTTGTTTGTTGTTGCTTTTGCAGAGGATGGCTGAAGTTCCCGCCTTTGGGGACCACCATCCTACAGTTCATTTGTCTGTGTTTACAGTTGCTGAGAGGGTGGGAATTTTATGAAGAGATCTAAAAGCTTGCAGATAATTAACTCAGCAGGGCGTACTGTAGGTTTTAGTACTCTCTCGCTGCTTATCATCAGACAACTCATGACAACCCTCAGCCTCGTGGCCAAGGCAACAGAGCTCTGGTCCAGCCTGGGTCCTCCTCTGTGGCTGCAGCGGTGGACTTAGCCCAGCCCTGATGGCTTCTGTGAGGACATCTTTCTCCTGCTTCAGAATTTAGGTTTGACTTGGGCATTTGCTCAGATTGTAGCCTTTGATGTCTGGGCTGGGGCTGTTTCTCCGCCACCTGTGCTGGAGGGAGACTGCTGTAGCTCTCTGTCTTTCACATGCGTGTGTTTTTCTGCCACATGTGCAGCAGTTTGCTGCTGAGCTGGGTTGTTGGGACATGAACCGTTTTTGGTGGATTTCTGCCCTCTTGAGCAGAAATCTGGAGTCCATGACATTGCCTTTTGCAGGGCCGATGACCATCCTCAAGCGGTGGCGTTGTCAGGAAATCCAGGCCCGCTGCAGGGGCCTCTCAGCCTGGGAGAAGAGTGTTGGAGTGAGTGGAGGACTGGTTCCCCATCAGGAGCTGGGGATTTGAGTTGAACCTGGGAGGTGGCCAGGTAGATAAGGGAGAAAGCACATTCCTGGCCCTGGAGCTAAAATGAAGCCATAGTTGCCTGGAACCGCATTTGTTTGTAGGGTGGCAGGAGGGCCGCCATGACCAGAGCACACTTAACTGGACACGCTTGGAGCAGCTGGACAGTGAAGCGGAGCCAGGTTGCTGGGTCCTGCCTGCTGTGTGTTTGAATCTACACTGTATCCCGAGGGCAGTGGGCAGGCCAGGGGAACCGTACAATAGAATGTGGAGCAGAATTGAGTGGTCCAGTGCCTTATCGGGGCCTTCTTTTTAAAGCCTCTTGGGGAGATAAGGAATGGTTTGCAAATTTCAACCAGATGGAAGATATAAATACTATATGATTTGCTTTCAAAGACTGGTGATGAGATCATCCCATTTGTCCAGTATATTCTCAAAAATCAAAAAAATTATGTGTGTGTTGGGGGGCAGTGTTGTGGCTCCTAGGGTTGTCCTAGAGAATCAGTTTCTTGTCCTGGTTAAACACGTCTGGTCAGTTACTGTCCCCAACCTCCTGTCGATGACAGCACTAGATTTGGGAAGGTATGGGCAAGCCCCGCGCAGGAGGCAGCTTGGTGTACAGAGCACCGGGTCCTGAGAAAGCCCTGCTGTCCTGCCCTTCTGCACCTGCCAAGTCCACGGGCTTTGGGATTAGCTACAGGTGGGTGACAACAGCCCTCCTGCTTATTAACCCTCAGACCTCTGCCAGTTGCTGTAGCTCACTCCAGCTTCACTTTCCTCATCTGGAAAATGTGTCAGTGATAATAGTGAGGATCAGGCAGGTTAATGGGGGTGGAATCCATAGCACAATGTTTGACTCACGGTAACCTCCAAGTGCACAGTAAATCTGTTGGCCTTTACCCCTATTAACTTTCTTTTTTTAAGATTTATTTCAAAGGCAGAGTCACATACTCGGGGATGGGAGGGGGGAAGAGAGAGAGAGAGAGAGAAAGATTTTCTCTCTGCTGGTTCATTCCCCAAATAGCTGAAGCTGCCAGGGCTAGGCCAGGCCAAGCCAAAGCCAGGTGTCTGGAATTCCAAGCGAGTCTCCCACATGGGTGGCAGGGACCAGCTATTTGGGCTATCATCTGTTGCTTTCTCAGGCTCATTAGCAGGGAACTGGATCAGAAGTGGAGCAGTGAGCAGCTGGGACTCAAACTGGCCATCCAGAATAGGATGCTGGTGTACAAGCAGTGGCTTCACCCGCTGGGCCACAGAGCCAGCCCCTGCCTTTATTAACTTCTCTGAATTACGTTTTGTCATTTATACAAGGAGGGTATCAACTGTTCTCTTATGAAACTGTGGATATTCCAGGAATATTCATCACCTTGAGTTCATCCAGCACTGGGCGACGGCTTTGCTTAGTTATATAACTAACATGATTTCCAGTTTATGTTTTCTTCTTATGTGTCTGGAGATGCCTGGGTTTTAGTAACATCATGATCCAGGGACACTTTTCAAGGGTCTGGTCTGTCTTCACTGAAGGATATTTGGGGACAGTGGGTGGCTGACTCTTTTAATCCCAGATCTGGCTCTGAACTTGGTGTGGCCTGGGCCTGTTGCCACCATTTTGTGCCTGCCATTGCTCCTAAGAATATTGGATTGGAAGATCCTTTACAACTTGACACTGTTCTGATTTCTTATTGCCATGGGAAGAAAGTAGTTATTTTAAACATTTGATAACCACTTCATGGAGGGTAAAACATAAAAGACTTGCAGATGGGAAGGAAAGATCAAATGCTTCCATTCAGGGGTGCGATTCTGCTAAAATTTAGAGGTAAGGATTGACAATAGACAATTTTATGAAGACTCTTTGGGAGTGGATTTTGGTTGACACTCCATCACATGCTATCTTTTTTGCTTTTAAAGGTTTATTTATTTATTTGAAAGGCAGAGGGAGAGAGAGATCAGATTCATTGGTTTTCTCTCCAAATGCCTACAACAGCCAGGTCTGGGCAGAGCCAAATCCAAGAGCCAGGAACCCCATCCTGGTCTTCACATGGGCGGCAGGGACTCAGGTATTTGGACTAGCCTCTGCTACTTTCCCAGGTGCAATAGCAAGGAGCTAGATCAGAAGTGGAGCAGCTGGGACTCGAACCGGTGTCCATATGGGATGCTGGTGCACCAGGCAGCAGCTTTACCCACTTTGCCGTAACTCCAGTCCCCAGACTTTCCCTTTGCAGGAGGGTGTTTGTGCTACTTCAATAATGGCCCTCACCTTCTGGTATTACAGAGCAAAACCCAGGGCTAAAACTTCAGCTGGGAGAGAAGCGATCCTCCTGACAGCAAGGTGCCCTAGCCAGAAAGTCAGAAGTGCTCAGGGCCTGGTCTCAGTTAATTGGGTTAACCTGGATGGCCTGGAGTGGTATGGTCTGGGCAGGCTACTTAGGCACAGACAGGTGGGAGTGGTGAAAAGCAGCCCCATTTGCTCCTGGGAACTCCTGCGGCTGGGCCCAGGTACTTGTGCTTTGCAGAAGCATCCTGCACCTCCAGGTGCGAGGCTGCCCCTCAGCCTGGCTCTGCTCACACCAGGCAACTTCATGTCTTCGAATAGCAGGAGTCTAAGTGGGGGCTGCCTTTGTTCTTGCTTTTTGTAAACCGCGAAAGGAAGCATTTCACTCCGAGTAGGTAGAACACGAAGAGGGCTGTCATTTAAAGAGGTTTTTTCATTGCATTTCAGTCGGCTTCTCAGAATCATCACCCCACGCATTAGGAACTTGCTTTTTGGCAGTTTACACTTCAAAGCTGATGGCAAGCTGTGGGGCAGGGAGACGCTCCTGTGGTTCTGCGCAGTGGCAGGCTGGCCAGGACGGGCAGCATGGTGCCCCTCTCCCGTGCCCACTGCATGCTGTCACTCAGTACCTCGCAGTTTCTGTAGCGCAGTGGCCGGCCTTTGTTTTGGGGCCTGCACACAGAGCCCTTTCCTCTGGTGACCTTTCATCTCCCTCCCCTCCCCAGCTAAAACATTCTTTTCTCGGAGTGAACCTGCCAGCTTGGGTTCCCTGTGGTAATTTGGGCAGATGTGTTGCAAGCAAGCCAATTAGTACATTTAGCCTGTCCCTTTTTTATTCCTCCATCGCCTTCAGAAAGTACTCATTTTAAAGGAGGGTAGAGTCAATATGATCTAATAGCTTATTCTGTGTTTTGCAGGTGCAAGATTACCATGGACATAAAATCTGTGACCCTTACGTTTGGCTTGAGGACCCAGATAGTGAGCAGACGAAGGTAATATTGATTTTTCAATATAAGATAAGTCACCTCAATAGCCGGTGCTGAACTCTGGATCCCAGTAATGCTAGCTTTTCCTCCCCGTTCTTTCTGTGTGTTCTGCTGTGGGATGGCGGGACCTCTGTTGGTACAATCAGGTTTTGTCACGTGATTCCTAGGAAAAGACAAAAACATATTTAGCTCCCAGGGAAAACTGTATCACTGTCTTGAATGATGTTTGTGGCTCAAAGTGATATAATGAACCAACTATGTGAAATGAAAATATCAGAAAGAACAAAAACTGATTTTTAACAGAGAAACATATGAGAAAATTGTCCCATTTCTTTTGGAAAGAAAGTTTTACATATCAAATATCAGACCTTGAAAATAGAATTCTAGTCTTGCATTACTTATGGCTTTATGACATCAACAATCAAACAAAACGGTTACAAATGTAAGAACTTGCTTGTGTTTGTTAAAAGTAAGAGACCCATGGGGCTGGTGCCATGGCTCACTTGGTTAATCCTCTGCCTACGGCGCCAGCATCCCATATGGGCGCCAGGTTCTTATCCCAGTTGCTCCTCTTCCAGTCCAGCTCTCTGCTTTTGCCTGGGAAGGCAGTGGAGGATGGCCTAAGTGCTTGGGTGCCTGCACCCTCGTGGGAGACCAGGAGGAAGCACCTGGCTCTTGGCTTTGGATTGGTGCAGCACTGGCTGTAGCAGCCATTTGGGGGTGAACAAATGGAAGGAAGACCTTTCTCTCTCTCTCTTTCTCACTGTCTAACTCTGTCAAATAAAAAAAAAAAAAAAGGATCCATACTTACCTGCCAGGGGAGATACCATGAACACAATAGTGAGGGGCTGGAAGGGAGAATTTTCTGCTCTGTGATTTTTTTTTTTTTCTGTTTTAAAGATTTTATTGATTGGCTGGCGCTGCGGCTCACTAGGCTAATCCTCCCCCTGCAGCGCCAGCACCCGGGTTCTAGTCCCGGTTGCTCCTCTTCCAGGCCAGTTCTCTGCTGTGGCCTGGGAGGGCAGTGGAGGATGGCCCAGGTCCTTGGGCCCTGCACCCGCGTGGGAGACCAGGAGGAAGCACCTGGCTCTTGGCTTCGGATCAGCGCAGCACTGGCCGTAGCGGCCATTTGGGGGTGAACCAACGGAAGGAAGACCTTTCTCTCTCCCTCTCTCTCTCTCTCTCTCTCACTCTCACTCTCTCTCTCACTCTCACTGTCTAACTCTATCTGTCAAAAAAAGAAAAAAGATTTTTATCGATTTATTTGAGAGGCAGAGTTACAGATAGAGAGAGGGAGAGACAGAGAGAAAGGTCTTCCATCTGCTGGTTCACTCCCCAGATGGCCACAACGGCTGGAGCTGGGCTGATCTGAAGCCAGGAGCTTCTTCTAGGTCTCCCACATGGATGCAGGGGCCCAAGCACTTGGACCATCTTCTACTGCTTTCCCAGGCCACAAGCAGAAAGCTGGATTGCAAGAGGAGCAGCCAGGACATGAACCAGTGACCATATGGGATGCTGACGCCACAGCTCTGGGCTTTGCTCTTTCTAAGAGCATGAATTTCCTCTATTCCTAAGGAGAACCACATAGCATTTCCAGGGCCTGGGTGAAGTCTCATTATGTTAATGAAACTGTCCTTAAGTGCTGTGGCCCGTGGACACTTTTTCCTCCCTGGGGTTTATGGGACTTGTCATTTATGGATACTCTATGTAGTTAATTAGGTTTACTAGGAGACTAGTCTTTCTCAAATTCTCCCTCAATTGTTTGACACTTATAAACTGTACTACATGTTACTTAGTACACAAAACATGTATACAGTTTCTATTTTTTTAAGACTCCTTTTAAAAAAGATTTATTTATTTGAAAGAGTTGCAAAGAGGGATGGAGAGACAGAGAGATCTTCCATCCACTGATTCACTCCCCCAAATAGCCGCAACAGCCAGAGGTGTACCAGGCTGAAACCAGGAGCCTAGAACTCAATCCGGGTCTCTGATGCAGGTGGCAGGGGAAAAGCACTTGGGCCATCTTCTGGTGCTTTTCCAGGGGCATTAGCAGGGAAGTGGATCAGAAGTGAAGCTGCCAGGTCTCAAACCATTGGCTTATACAGGACACGAGCATCACAGAGGGGCAGCTTAACCAGCTGTGCCACAATGCAGGCCCCACATACACAGTTCCTAATATGTCCCACCATTCCAGATAGTTTAACTGAGCTTCTTTTGAACCAGAGTACATTCCCCCCCCCCCCCAAAAAAGAAAGTTCATGCCCCTTCCAGAGCCTGTGTCTTAGCTGTTCCTGTGTTGTGGGTCCCCTGCCATCATATAGATCTGGAGATCTGTTTCAGATTTCCAAGGCCATTCGGTTTTGCCCAGAAAGCATCCCTCTCTAACGTGGACCTGGCTAGTGGGATTGGCATTCTCTGCACCTCAACAGGGAGAGTCTGGGGTGGAGAGCCAAGCTGGGTGCCGTGGTGTAAGGAGGAGCAGAAGTGGGAGCAAGAAGAGATGGGCTCCCACTGCAGTGAATCCCATGGCCGTCTTTCCCTTGGTCCCTTGCACTGGCTTGTCAGCTGAGACTCCGCCACTTTGAGGCTTTCACCTGTCTGCAATCCTGCATTCTCTCCTAGTGCAAGAAAGCAAAACGTCTCCTGGGTAACAATGGTACTCAGGTTTTCATTTTTCTTTTAAGCATTGGGTTATAGAGGTGGATGGGCATAGATTGCAATGTAAGAAACTGGTGAGCATCTTTTTAGGAGTGGTGGAAGTTGGTGCCCAGCTAAGACTGGGAGGAGCTAGGAGCTGGCATGGGGTTGCTGCCTCACCCTTCCCTGTCCCCTTGACCCTGATCAGCAGCACAGGTCTGAGCTGAGATAGGGGTGGAGCCTGGGAGTAGAGACTCAAAGGCAGCACCTAACCTGTGATGGAGGGAACATACCAGAGAAGAGAACGAATTTCCTGTGTATCTCTCGGAAAACCATCCCGAGAACAGTCTCTATGGTGATTTCTTTGCCTGAGGGATTGGGTAAAACCTGGATTTCTTCAGCCTTTGATGATGATTGAGTGATTCAGCAATGTCAAAGTGACCCACATTTTAGGTATTAACAACACTAGCATTGCTGTGCCTTAATTGGTAATGACTGGTTCTGTGGATGATGAGCCACTTATTAGTGGATGTGAAGCCTCCAATTAGGGGATGGAACTTTGCTAATTAGTGATCTGACAGTCACCACTTCATAGAAGCCAGTGGCATTATAGTATGCATTGTTGTTTTTGTAGTGTGCATTTATTAGATGCTTACTGTGTGCCAGGCACTGTTTTAGGAGCTTTGCATGCCCTATCTCATTTTATTCTTACACTCTAAAATAGATTAAGAAGTTGGGGTACCTGTCCATGGACTCTTAGTGAGTCACTGTGTAGCCAGGGATGGAATCACTCTAAAAACTGAATAAGGGTTTTAATAGCTTTGAAGGTGGAGGCTATAGGAATTTATTCACGTCTGTGTTTGCCAGGAGGTTGGGTAGGCCTTGCACCTGGACCCTGGGCCACACCTGCTCCTGCCTTAACCCAACAGCATGACTCAGGTGTTGGAGTGTGCCTTCTGTGCCTTCCCTCAGTGTCTTCCATACATCATATAGCCTTGTTATTGACATTGCTAGTTTATCTTCTGGGATCTAATGGGTTAAAATTTGGTCTCAGACCAAAAGTAATTACTGGCATGTTTTTCTAATGAGCAGAAAAGTAGCACAAACCTTTTCTACTTGTAATTGGAAGCAAGCATATCCATAAAGTGTATCAGCCATACCTTGATGTAAAAATGAGGATCTTGACAAAGTCTCCAAGACAAAGAGAATGCTGCCTGTTACATTCTCCACAAAAAAAGTGGGAAACATCTGTGGCTCTTTTACACCATGGTCTGAAATGCCGTCGGTCTTTTGTTTCATCTAGTATTTAGTACAGGTTATCCAATTCTACAGTACCTGGCCCTGGTATTCTTTATAAAAGAATATCAGAATAGACTTATAACCCATAAAACTCTAAAAATCAGGGGTGGCGCAGATTGTGGGGGTAGATTTCAAGGCCCACATAACCCTGTTTGATAGCAGATGTTCTAGATTGTAGATCACACAATTCAGTTGATCCTCTGAAGCAAATCCTCTGCCATGGAAAAATCCAACAGAAATGTTTTGTAAAGAGGAAACAGTAGGAGTCTGCATCGTGCTGCAGGAGGGTAAGCCACTGCCTGCAGGGCCGGCATCCTATATGGGTGCCAGTTTGTGTCCCGGCTACTCCAGTATCAATCCAGCTCTCAGCTAATGTGTCTGGGAAAGCAGCAGAGGATGGCCCAAGTGCATGGGCCCCTGCACCCAAATGAGAGACCCAGAAGAAGCTCCTGGCTCTTGGCTTCAACCTGGCCCAGTCCTGTCTGTTATGGCCACTGGGGAGTGAACCAGAAGATGGAATGGAAGACTTCTCTCTCTCTCTGTCTCTTATCTCTCTCTCTGTAACTGCTTTTCAAATTAAAAAAAAAAAAAAAAGAAGAAGAAGAAACAGTAGATCATGCCCAGTAATTTACACTTTTCCAACTGCCACATTAAAAAAGTAAAAAGATACATAGGTTCCTCTAGGCTCCTAGCTTTGGCCCTGGCCCTGCCCTGGCTGTGGGCATTTGGAGATTGAACCAGTGGATGGGAGCTCACTTTGTCTCTGTCTCCCTGGCTCACAGATGAATAGAGGAGGAAAGGAAAGAAGGAAGCGAGAGGTGGCATTAACTTCACTAGTGTGTTATTCTATCCACTATACGTAACCAATGTAAATGTGTAGTCAATATATTAACATACTGCACATTCTTTTTTCACAAGCTAAGTTTTCGAAATTCTGAGTGTCTTTAACATGTACAGCACCTGTCATTTCAGACCAGGCACATTTCAGGTGCTCAGAGCTGCTTATGGCTCGTGAATACTACTCTAGACAATGAACATCTGGACCAACCTCTCTTGTGACTATAGATGTA